AGCAGTGATTGAGGTGAAGGGTTCCCCAACACAGAGTCTCACACAACCATCAATTATCAACTTGAGTGAAGAGACATCACATCCACTCTCCTTCCTAAAAGAAGTTCATCCATGAGAAGCCTTCAAATATCAGGAATTTTAAGGCATCATGCTCTCAGCAGTGCTGCACATAAAGCACCACAAGTCCTCAGGCTGTGGTTTTGTTAACACTGGTATGTTTGCCAAAGACAGATTAAAGGTACAAGACAAGGCTCCCCAAAGGTCAGAACTAACTGACTCAGAGCCTCCTCAGTAAGGTTATTTCTGCTTGGGTAAAGAGAACTAGATGGATCTTGGATCCTCACCAAGTCATTCCAATGAATTTGAACTGTGGTCACAGACCCAGCTGCTTATAAAGAAGCCATCCCAACAGTGGTGGTCCTAATACAGCTCTATACATTCTATACATCATTCTCTGTAAAGTTTCATTTTGTATGGATTAATTTAACCCACAAATCACAACCAACTGGGTTGCAGGCAACCAAATTACCACAGACTTGCCTACAAAAGTCACATTAATACATCAGAAAAGTTATAAAGGAGATAACCATCCCCTAAACAGACAAAATTCGTTAAAGATGTGGCTAATGGCAGAGTTTCTCCTTCAAGGGCCATCTCCTTCTCCTAGGTCTGCATGAGGTACCTTTTTACTGGGGTAATTTCACTCACACAAAGGCGGAGTAGAGGGCTGAAAGATATCAGTTACTTTTGAAGGGAGAGGGAAAAAAATCATACCTCCAAGACAAAATAATAAAAGCTATTAAATACATAACACAGGCCAACAAACAAGCTAAGATGTTAGTCACACACTGACACAGGCACTGCCTGACTGATTTCTCAATATTCTAGACTTTAGCCCCATCATCACAGATGTCTGACACTTAAAGTGGTAAACAGAAGGAAGCTTAATGCAAATGAGCATTGAGCTTAACTCTGACCCTGTTATTTCCCCATTTTTATGAAAACAGACTTAAATGTCATTGATTCACAGAAGAAGTTGACACTAGACCTTCAAACAATGTTACATATCTATAGACTGTCATACCCAGAGGTTCCAATGTGCAGCAGGAATTATTCACAGTCTTCAATAAGTAACTTTTTTAGGAAACAAATCATGTAAGGAATCTATTTACACTTTCAAAGTTTTCTTCTGTATAAGTATTAAGTATTTAAAGACTCTATGTATTTTCAATAGGTATAAAACTGTTTCCTTTGTGACAGCATAGTCTTTTGCCATCTTAGGAAGTATTTTTTTATATTGAATGCTTTTAGATAAATTATTTCAATTTGTGATGAAAACCACCAAAGAGAGAAACAAGAATCAAAACAGGAACCTTAGCTAAGAAGAAAGGCTTGACAGCAAAGAACACAAGCAGATAACTCATGACATAAGAAATAAAATGTATGTAATTAAACTACAACAATCCTGAGAGGTGGCAAAGTATCACTGCATGTTATTTAACATGCTAATCATAGCTTTTATGTTGCACTACAGAATAATAATGCAATTATAAATTCTCAGAAAACAGCACTGAGTGCATGTTTTATCAGGGCTGAATGCTATCAGTTCTACACACTATGCTACTGAGAGTGTGTCCTATGCTCTCTGTGTGATTAGACCTCTCATGCTACCCCTCTATCTTTCAAGGGCCATGCAGCAGAATTCAAATCTTTGATGAACACACCTCTACACTCTGTTCAACAATATTAGTAAGGCTTTTGGACAAGGAAAGAAAGGATTTCCAGGCCAGTGAATGGGCTCCTTCTTTCCTGCAGCAGCCACTCTCAGCCAACATGATTTTGCTTGAAGCATGAGAGGAAGAGACAGAAGGGTGAACGAGATGTGCAATAGGTTCTTACTGTGACTCTTCCCTCCCGTCTCTCAACACCTGTGTCCCAAAATCCACAGGTCTCAGCCACACCCCAGTTCTGCCACTTTGCTGGCAGCTGGGTGGACCTGGGCTGTCAGTGCCAGAGCTGAGAAAAGCCGGGTGACACCACAGCCCCGGGAGGAGATGAGGACAGAAGCGTAACAGATGGTGACAAAGGGTGGCTCAGACCACAGTGCAGAATTAGTATCACTGATACTATGATAGCAATGTGCAACAACCAGTGTGCCTCAACAATTAGTGTTAATTACACCACTACTGCAGGAGTGATATCCTGGCCAACGCTGGCCACACACTGCAGAAGCTATCTGCAGTATGCTCACAATACAAGCTCCAGGGCTGTTAGAGGAGTTAATGCAGGGACAGAAATTTCAAATCATTACCCAAGTGAACATGGGGCAGAGATGTTGTTGAGACACGGGAATTCCATGATTTATGCAGGGAGATCCCTGGAATAGGAGCATTCCCGAACCATTAACACTATCTGCAGAAGACTGTAGTCTCAGTGGATGGATTTCTCATTAAAATAATTCCAAATCTATCTTCCACCTCAAATGACAGGGACCTTGACCCTAAAATTATTCCATAGCTATTTACAAAGATTATCTGTTTTCTTGACATCTGTTCTCTCTGTCAGTGTAATCTTCCCATTTTGCTCACTCTACCACTTCACTTTGTACAAAGCTGAAACAGGAGATATTCAATCCACATATCATCCAAGATGCCCAGCCACAAGTTGCACCAAGAGACATTTAGATAGGATATTAAAAAAAAATAATCACTGCCACAGTTATCAAGCACTGGAACAGGCTTCCCAGAGGAGTGGTCAAATCAACAACCCTGGAGGTTTTTAAAAGAGGTGTAAACATGACACTGGGGGACATTGTTTAGTGGTGCATTTGGCAGTACTGGGTTAATGGATGATCTGAAAGGTCTTTTCCAACCAAAATTATTCTATGCCTGTAAACTAAACACCTTCTCCTTCCCACCACTCACTATGCAGACCAGGACATGAAATTCAGATGCATGATACAAGCCTGATTCTGAACAAAGCAAGAGAGTACTGGGAAAACCTCCTCCCTTACTATGCCTCCCCATAAAAAGAACCATTGCCTCCCCTAGGAAACCCAAGTACAGAACAGGAGACAATGCAAACACTGCTCAACACACCCAAGGAACTTTTGACTGGTTTTATGAAAACCTATGAACAAGGTGGGTTTCAAGTCTGATTCAACAAAACCACACCAACACTTAAAGACACTGCAGAGCCCTCTATTCTATCCACGTGCTATGGATTTCACCAATGAATTGCTGGAGGAGATAAGATGACAAAGCTCAAGTTAGTAATAGAAATATGTCCCATGTTCCAGTTTTGCCTTTTTTTCTAATGTAGAAATGAAACTCGAGACAATTTTACTAAGGAGGTAATTTAAAAGTGGATCTTAATGGAAGGCTTTCAGAAGCAGCTATGAAAAGATGTCCACAAAAGCCTTGTACAGGGCTGAGTACATTTTATAGTTGATAAAAAGCACCAATTAGGAGGACAAGTGGTGACACAATTTCCCCCCCAGGTCAAGCCCCGACTCTGGAGTACTAGCTGTACTTTGTCCATGTATCTCTAAGAGCTGTTCTCAACCTTGGTTCCCAGAAAGAACCAAGATAGGAGAGGGGCCTTGTGCCTCCTGGGGCTGGGAGCTCTGGAATTTGTTTTGTCTATTTGCCTAGGGAAAGGCCATGGAGAATTACTGGGAAAACTAGCCACGAATACAACAGGCTGCAGAGCTACAAATACGCGTGCGAAGAATACAGAGAACGTATAAAAAAAAAAAAAAAAAAAAAGGCAAAACCCAAAAGAGCATCACCATCCAGGGGAAAAGCATTCCTGCCCATGGCTGGGGGGAAGGTGGAATTAGACGGATCTTTAGGTCCCTCCCAACCCGAACCATCCCGTGATTAAACAAACAAAATTCCCCAGGCAAGCGCTGTTTGCAGGAACGATCGGGGCGCAGCGGCGTGTGCGGGAACACGGACTGCAGCGCTGCGGAGCCCGACACGTCCAACAGCGGGATCCTCACGGCGTGCAACGCTTCACCAAAGACAGCCGGCATTCAGGGTTTATTTAAAAGCCTGAGAAGAGTCCCGTCCCGCCCGAGGCTCGAGTGAGGCTCATGACAGGGAAAGTGCCCCCAGCTCCCCAGGGAAGCTCCTTCCCTCCATCCCTCCCTCCGCAGCCGGCTCCCACCTGCTGGCTCAGGTAGCGCGTCAGGTAGGGGCCGACAGGCAGCGAGGCGCGCCGGTGGCGGCGGAGCGGGGCGGGCAGGGCGCCGGCCGCGCCGAGGAGCGGCAGGAGCAGGAGGAGCCGCAGCATCGCCGCGGCAGGAGCGACAGGAGGGGAAGCGGGAGCGGCGCCCGCCCCGCCGCTTTATGCGGGCCCAGCTCCCCGGCCCGGGGCTGCCCCGGGGGCGTGGCCGACCCACACGTGCAGGGGCGGGCCCTAACCAGCGGCGCCTTCCGATTGGCTCTCGGTAGGCGGTTAGCTCGCGCGCGCCTTCGCGGTTGGCCGAGGCGGCTCCCTTAGGTAATCGCAGGGAGGCAGCGATTGGCTGCCCCAAGCACGTGAGCCGCCCGTCTCGGCTCTCCACACCGTGCGGGGGTGCGACGTTCTCGCTTTGTGATTGGGCAACAGAAGCCGCTCTCCCCTCGGAGCGCATCGCGATTGGCTGAGAGCCGCCTCGCCCCGCCCCCGTCGCGGCCCCGCCGCAGCCGGACTTCCGCCCTTCCGCTCTGCCCTCAGCCCCCGGGAGCGCCGAGCCCTGCTGCACCCCCGGCCCGGCCCGGGCGAGCCGAACCGGACCCGCCGCTCGCTGTCGGCCTCGGGGAGGCTGCGGCGTGCAAACGGGAGCGAGAGGTGTTAGCGACCCGTGCTTTGGTTTTCCTCAGGGACAGAGCGAGGCGGCGGGATCACCAGGGGGCACCCGGAGCCGCGCTGGGAGCTGCGCCCTGAGGGCAGCGAGCGCGGCAGGAGCAGCTGGAGGGCGGCTGTGGGATTCCCCCGCCGGCGCTGAGGTTTGGGATGTTTGGTTTGTTACAAAAAGTCCAAGTGAAACAGATCTATTCCTGCCGACCTCTTTCAGTCTGCGCCCCGGTAGCGAGTTCTGTATTTCTTCGAAAGGGAAATAGAGGTGAAGATCTTGAGGCTGTTTGCTCTGGACGGAACCTGTGTGAGCACTTACACGCTGTGCTGCTTTATCCCCCGTATTGCAATTCAATACTTGCGGTGTTCTCTGTTTTCTGCAGTGGGCATTTGTGGGGGTTTTTTGTTTGTTTGTTTCAGTTGTGTGTTTTTTAATGTCTCGTAAAAGTGCAGGTAACAAAAACTATGTAAACTTTGTTTCTAGAGTTCTGAGTTGAAAACAGGTGGGAATGAAGGACCTGCTAGCTTCTCCAATCCCACCTTTTTGGCCAATAAAAATATCAGATTTTACTTTATCACTCGTTTGCTGCATATTGATGTGTTTTCTATGTGCTTTTTACTGTTACCTTGTACTAAAACAAAATCTTTGTAACTAAAACAAAATAGTTTCCTTTTGGTAAGGGTTGAAGGTATATTGACCATTCAATATATTGAGTCAAATTAGTTTCTATTAATTTGTATGTTCTGAAGAGATATTTTTTACTTATTTTGTTTGGCCTCCTATTACAGCTTTTCCCTTTCCCTACCTCCATTTCATCTGAACTACTCAGAGCAATAAGTTTATTCACTCACGTTTTTCTAGTACTCAGTGTTACAGATCTTGTTTTTACCAGGATGCTGAGAAAGATGTTCCAAAGGGCAAAGGAACAGCCTGAAAGTTTAACCTTCTGGTGGCAAAATATGAACAAAAGATCATTATTGATTATAGAATATGGGGTATTTTTAACCTGTAAAAGCCATACTTGAGGCTCCTCTATCTCTTTGGTCTTTTGCCTCTCAGAGAGAGTTTTGGGATGAAGATGTGGAATTCCCTTCCTATTCTGCAGTTTGTATGAAAGACAGATTTATATTTAGCTACAGCTAAAGATAAAAGAGCTATTGCAAATGCAGACTTTTAAGGAGTCATTTGATTCAGCTGTAGAGAACATTTTGGTCATTTCAGTTGGAACTCTCTGATATGAGGCATTGGATGAGGCTCCAAGTGGCTTGGTTAGTAGAAGGTGTCTCTGCCCATGGCACTGGGGCTGGAACTAGGTGATGTTTAAGGTCCCTTCAAACCCAAACCATGCCAGGACTCTATGATTGTTATCTACATTTTTTTAATATGTGGTGAAAAAAAAAGTTGTCTGAAATAGGGGAAGTTTCCTAAAGCTTGATGTTTTGGGCAGTATAGTGTAATAAAGCCAAAATAAATCTGCAGGAAAGTAATACGGAGTAAAAATAAATTAATTCCTATTTATTTAAATGCTTAGTTAATAATTTATTTGTCAAATCTGTACAGCCTCTGTTGACCAGGAGCTGCTGTTTTAGCTCGAAGAGCATGATATAGGAACAAATATAGTTGCTGTTGTGTGCCTTTTTCAAGGTTTTCTGAGTAACCTCTCCAAGTCATTGGTGTTGAAACATTTGCAGAATTACAAGTTCAGTGTTTAACCCCATGTTGTGACTTCACTGTAAATTAAGGAATATAATTAAAAAGCTATTTACTGCAGTGCTGTGCCCAAGGATAATTCTAAGATCCCTAAATGCAAGTGAGAATTGGCATAATCTGTGTGCAATGGTGTGCAAATGCCATGAACAGTTACTTCATATTGCATAACTTTATCCTTTTTAAATTTTTTTTTAATATTTAATTAAAAGAATTTCTATTTTCAAACAGAGACTATAACTTCCTGAACACTGCTGTTCAAAATGTTAAAATAACCCAACTGAAAGCAGTTAATATTAACATCTCATGATAACTCTTCTAACCATTTCAACTTACTTGTTTCAGGTGATGCTGAGCACATGAATAGTGTGCAGGGACTCTTGGCTGCCTCTGTGATTTCCATCCAGAATTCCTGCTTCACCTATCCTGCCTGTCAAAACTGCTTTTCTAGGCTGATACTGGATTCCAGGAGGTATGTCCTGTTTTGGGGATCATGTACTGATTTCCTTTAACTTGGGGATCTCTGTTAGCTGAATGCTAAACAAAGTGGTGAAAATCCAGCCCCTCCAGATCAAACCCTGATTTTATTTTTTCATTTCATTCTACATGTGCAGTGCACCTGGTAGTCCTGTATGACTCTTCACTGAGTGCATGTCCAGAAAGGGATGAGCTTTCTTTTTTAATTGCAGTGTGGGTGAAATCTCTGACACAGAGAAGAACAGTAAATCAATGAATGTCAGTGCTAAATGGAAGGAGCTGACTTTGTAAAACAAGGATATCTGTTGTTTCAAATGCTGAAGTACAAGATAACAGTGCTGTTTCCTAATTATTTTTTAAACCTATGTATTTATGCTCAATCTGCAGGAGGAAAAATCCCAAACCAGAATGAAATGTGAGAAAAATGAGTGCAGGAAATCCAAAATTGCACCCCAACAGTCTCTCAAAACCTGCTGTCCCTTCAATTTCACAACAGGCTAGCATTTAATAAATCACTAAAAGAAATCAGAGGCATTCTGTTATAATACACACATCTTGCTCTGAGCCTTTGGTAAGATTAATGCCTCAAGAAGTAAAGAATGAGAAAATAATCTTACAGTTTTGTATGGAATATTTGATACAGTATAGTAGTAATATTTACGGCTGCAGATAAATTCTTACCTCAGCAGTGATTAACACAAGTTCAGCTATTCAATCTTTTTTATCCATTTACTGTCTTTTGTCAGGTTCAGCTGTCTAAAATGTGGCTGCACAGGTGAAGCTAAAGATGCAAGCTACAGATATAGATTGTCCCTAAAGATTGCTGACACTAATGATTTGTTTGACATCACTGTTTTTGGAAGTTGCTTAGATCCATTCTTTGGGGTCACCGCAGAGAATCTGCAGAGGTAAGGAATAGATTGTCTGACCATATAGCTGCTGCTATTTATTCAGCCTAAAAAAACTCCAATGAGCCTAGGTGGTGGGAAGATGAGTAGGAAGTAACTGCTACAGTGCTTCCTTCCAGCATTTCCTTGGTTCCCATTATGTTGAGAAAGTGTGGAAGTCTGTTTCTTCCTGAAATCTTGATGTTTTGAGATGGATTACTTCTAGGTAGTAGAAGAAATCCTCCACTTGTCTGTTCAAAACAGCAACTACCTGTTAAGTAAGCCTCACTGCTTGGTTGGTTTGGCCTCTTCCTTGTGTCCTTTCTCCTTTTTTTGAGATGATCAAATTTCCTTTGTTTAAGTAAGTTGGCTTTTCCAGATAGAGCCTCTGGGTGTTCTTTTTTAACAGTTTGAATGCACCTTGTGACTATTTGGCAGTATGACCAAATTTTCCTGAAGAAAGAAGGGATTTCTAAGAAAGTCTGTTAGTCCTCAGAGCCTGACCACCCACGTGATAGGCTTCAGGTTTTCTGAAATGTGAAAGTGCTGGGATGGGATAGTCAGATTAATTCCCTGCTTCTTTCTCTAGTCTGTTATTTTCTCAATGCCTTGTGTTATCACTGGCTCAAAGATGAATTATTTGTTATGGCATATTAGCAGTATTAATAACATGCTTGTGACAGGCATTCTGCCCTACACTGCTGTACTGCTGTCGTCTGTGAAAAGCAGTTATTTCCATGTCTTACATGGATACTATCATGCTGTAAAGGCTGGGCAGGAAGGATGTGTAAGGAATAGCAGCATCTTGACCAGCATTGCACAGTCCCTGTGTTGGCAGAAAAATCACAACCACGTGGGGAACACCTGAAAGTGGTGTGTGTATTGAACTTGTTCAGAGTGGTTGTTTTGTTTACTTTATCTCACTAACAAGTTAGGTGAACTAAAGAATTGAATTTATAGGTTAATGGTTTTCCTGTTGTCATTCTGAGTTTAGTTGAAGCTAGCACAAAATCTTTACCTTAACATGTTTCCTCATTAGCACTATACTACAGCTAAGATGTTATGTAAGGCTTCTTCCTCTGTTGGTCCAATAGTTCTGTGGTTTTTTATCCTAGGTATATTCAAGACTTCAATCAGCTGTCAGGAGAAACAAACACAGAGTCAACTACAAGAGCATTAGTTCAAGCAGTGGAAACCTGTTTCATTGGAAAAAGGTTTATATTTGGAGTGAAGGTAACTTTTAATCCACATTATGGCCTTTTAGTGAGTTTCTGTAGCCAGTTAGGGGTATAGACTGAGTTATCAAACCCTCATGTACAACTTCTTTCTGAGAAAATGTAAGGCTAGGACATGAGAAGGATATTCTGCTTCTTTTCCACAAGACTCCTGTGGTTTTGGGGTTTTTTTTTGGTTTTTTTTTTTTTGAATGAGTCACATCCAAAAATCATCTTGAATGGCAGTAGTCAGCTTAACAGCTTGTCAGGGTGCTTTTTGGAGAGCCTGAGCAATGCCAGCTCCTGTGCATATCAGTAACAGCTTGGAACCTGTAAAAAAACCATGTACAGTTGGAGAAAGAAACAGACTCTCTTTCCAAGCACTGCCCTACCTTTCCCATGCCGTGTATTCTCATTTCCAGTCTAAAATGTAAGGAGAAGCACATCCCCTTGCACCATTTTAATATTTCTAGATTTAAGACATTTTCAAAATGTTGTTAAAGCACAGCTGTTCACTGTCTGCATTGGTGGCTCTTTTAGGTGTTTAACACACTTTGAAATATTAGTTCTTAGCAATATTTCTATAGGAACAGTCTTCAAGGTTCTCTTCAAGTGGTGCTTATGTGAGTAATTAATATTATTAAATCTGAACTAAATCCTGCCTGGCAGGTGTTTTGCCTCTCCCACAGGTTGTATCTGATCTGAGATTTTTCCTGATGTACAGCATCTTAAGTAATGGAAGTTGAAGGACTTATTGGATTCACTTTACTTACCTGGAACCCTTGACCAGGTGTGTGGGCCTGGTGCCTTGACAAATATAACTAATCCTAGATGTCATCAGCCTTGTGGCTGCTCCCGCACACTCAAGGGCTGAACACACATTCAAAGACTTTGTGTAAAGCCCTTGGCTGTAGACATTTCTGTATAGTTGTGCTCAGCTGTGTATATGTCCCAGATAATACTCAGAATCAGCATAACATACTTTTTAAAGACTTACCTAGGAGGGTGTTGTCCTTGGCTAACAGTCTTCAGCCTTAAACCTGGCACAGACTCAGGGAGGAGGAGGGTTGTTGGAGGTAACTATATCTGCTTTTTGGCCTCTCTGGGTTTGCCAGAGCTTGAGGGGTAGATGAGAAAGGGTTTATCCACTTCTTAAAATACAAGCTAATTCCCTCTGTTTAATGTCATTTCTCACCTGTAATTTCAGTGTAGAGAGAAGAAGGTTGTATAAAGAATTGCACTTGAAGCTCCTTTGAAACACTGCTCTCTAAAAGAATCTGAGCAGATGAAGGTCACAGCTTATTTCCCTTTCACGGATGTAGTGCACAGAAAGTACCACGCTGGCTTTGGCAGCTGAGCTGCCAAGTCAAGTGTCTGGTACCAGAGTGCTTTGTTTCAAGTGCTGCCCAGTGCCTCCTGGATAAAAGCAAAGCACTGGCCTTAGGCTGCCAGCCATTCACACTGAACTGCACTAGAGGAGGCCCGGAAGCATTCAGTGCCCTAAAGGGAGGAAGAAATATTCTGTAAAGTCCTTTCTCAGAGTTCTTGGTTGTTTTTCCAGCTCCAAAACTCTGTAATTGCAACAACCAAAGAACCTCTCACTGTGATGCCCTTTACAGCCCTTGCCAGGGTTTATTTCCCAGGGAGGGCCTTGTGACAGACTGTTTTGTATTCTCTCCCCTGCAGATCCTGACAAGAAGGGAGATCTAAATTTACTCCTGACTTAAAAGACATGTGTTAATATTTTTTTTCTCTAAGTTGGTTGTTTTTTTGTTTTGTTTTCCCCCCTCAGCATTGTGCAAAGGAAGATGGAGGGCGTTCTGCTGCCAGCAGCATCTTGCAGAAGTGTTCCAGAATTAATAGAAGTACGAAAAACCTTGTGGCGTGCCAGATCTTCCCGCCAAGTGCTGCTGTTACTGGCTTTACTGTTATCAGCTACTTAGATCATCTCCTGCAGTCGGCAAAATTCAGGAGCTGTAATAACAGCTCATCTTTACCTGATGCGTCATCAGCTCCCATAGATGAACCTCTCAGTGAGCTCAGCAGCTTGTCTAGCCTGAGCAGGAGCTCCTGTTTTCTTCAGTCTAGTGGCAGGGACAGTTTTTTAGGGTGCTGGCAGCAATCCTTAAGTCTGACTTCATCTGTTGCTTGGGTAACAGTGGAAGACTTTCCCACTCTGGAAGTGGGAAATCTGGTGAGTGAACAGCATGAACAAGAGGAGAAGCCTGTCTCTACAGAATTGGGCAGTGTAAGCCTCAACAATCAAACTCTTTGGGACTCACAGTTTCTGATCTCTTCCGTGAAGGAAAGGGATAAAGAGAAGAATAATGAATTAAGTTCACAGCTTAGTCGGACTGATGGTATCTCTGCAACTGATAAATTGGAGAGAGTTTCCTCTTCAAACACCAAATGTTCACATGGAAACAGTTCCAAGTTGTTACAACATCCCTTGAAATCTGAGGTAAAAAACAATTACCCAAAAAGTAATAGTAGAAACTATTGTTACGCAGAAAAATCCCACAACTCCCTTGTTTGCAAGAGAGATGCCTCAGCTCCTAATCATGTAAATGTAGCTGAAGTGTCTCAGATGGACTCTATATTTTGGGAAGAGCTCCCATTCTCAGAAAGCCTAAATGAATTGTTAGCTAAAATAGAGGATGGCAGGAGTGTTGTAACATCACCCAGCCCTGATGCAGGCAAATTTGTCCATCTTGAAAGTAACAAGTTGGGTGTAAATCTTAACAAATCGTATTCCAAGCAAGCTGTACGTCATTTGCCTGCAGCCAGTGTGTCAGGGAGGCTCTTGCCACCAGCAGGGAATGATAGTTGGGAGACCACAGTGCTTGCTTGTCTTCGGTCAAATGCAAACCCTCCAAGTGATGTCTCACAATACGAGTCTTCCCCTAGTGATTTGTCTTCAACCCTCAAGGAAGGTGGAGCATCCTCTCCAGTTACACCAGAGCCTTCCATTTCTCAGAGCAGATGTGTGCAGCCCAAAGAAGCAAATAATGACAATGCAAATTCATCTTGGTCTTTTATTAGGCTGCATGGAGAAACCTCCTGTTCAAAAAAGAGCAAGACAGCCGCCTGTGTGCATTCTGCATGTGAAAGCTGTTTAGCTTCTTGTGAAAATAAAGAAAATTATTCTACACCAAGCAAAAAAAAGGATCTTACACTCACAGGGGCCCAGGTCTCTGATACACCAACTCCCAACAATGCAAGTATATATGAAAGAGAATTAAAACCATTGGCAGAACTGTCAGATAATACCTTTGGAAGTGTTAGTAGGAAAGAGCTGCAGTGGGACAGCATCTTCCCTGAAGGCATCTACAATGCTTCTGCTGATCTCTTTGATGCAAGTGTAAGAGATGTAGCAAAACCTGTGGAATTCTTAAATAAATCATGTAACTCTTTCATACAGGAGGATACTTTGACAGAGAAGGTCACAGCTGAATCAGTGCTTTCTCCTGGAGGTGTTCCTTGTAGCAGTTCAAAACTGAGCTCACGCCTACACAGGTCCCCTCTGGCTTTTAGCAAGCACAGCACACCTGTAACTTACTCCTGGGATTCAGAATGCAGTTCAGTTTGTGCTCAGGACTTTGTTCCTTATTCACAATCTACTCCTATGACAAAACCTCTGCAGAAACTATGGCCTGTTGGGGAAAGAAGCTCTTCTATCACCCTCTTCACCCCTACAAATCCCACTAAAATCCATTCCAAAGGCAAGCGACTCAGGTCTTCCTTTCAGAACACTCTGCTTCAGCAGCTTACCGGCAAGTTAGTGAAACATGACAGACCAAGGAACAGGAAGGACAAAGAAAGTGGTAGCTGTGCCTCCCAGAAGTTCCTTAACAGCCAACTGCCTGCCAGCTTGGAGGAGTGGGTCCCTCCATCTTCAAACAAAGGTCTGAAACCGACTGCATCTTTAAATTTAAAAACAGTTAGCTGGGCTGCTGACTTGCAATCCACCTGTGGGCACACTAGCAGGAACCCTATTTCTGAAAGCAGAAAGAACATTGAAAATTATGAAAATCTCATCCAAAATGAGAGAGTAAGCCCTGGGGATAGAGCCAGGATTCTAACAACTCCTTTATCTGCAAGTGTCACCACCGTCCTGAAAACTTGTTCCCCTTCAGAAGGTGAGAATCACCTCTCAGGTGGAAATTATTCAGGAGTTGTGTTGGAAGGGCCAACTCTTTGGTCTCCTGAGCTGTTCTTCCAAGCACGGACCCCTTTTTCCAAGAAGCCGAAGTACTAGGAAAGATAACGTTTCTATCCTGTGTTCTTTTTATTTTTTTTTTTAACTTTTGGAAAGGATCTGGTGAAAGGAAAGAACTATTTGAAAGTTAAATTGTTTATACATCTGTCAGCATATGTCTTGCAAAGAGGAGTTGGGTTTATTTTCAGACCTTTGTACCACAGAGATGAGGGAAATTAGAATTTGTAGTTACTATATTTTCTTGAAAATTAATGAGGATGTGCAATAAACACTTTTGTAAATATGTGAGTATTGAATAGATCTCACTTCATAAAGAAGAAGTAGGTGAAGTGTTTTAATGTTCGCTGTTGTCTTTTCATCACAAGAGCAGCCCTGGAATCCATGTCCACTCCAGATTCTTGCCTGATGACTCGGGAGAAGGGCCAAGTTTTTATTGAAGATTTGATGGTGCCTTTTATCTGAGCCCATTGGGATCCAGTGACAGGCTTGAGCTGGGTGAAGGGGGCCATCCTGAGAGCTTGGTAGCAGCTCCCAGTTTTCCTAAAGGCTTTTTCAAGTTAAAGACTGCCAGTGGTAGATTCCTGACAGTTTCTTCCCTCTCCTTGCATTAAGGTCTTCTGTATCCCAAATCCAAAACAGCTGCATTTAGGATCATTGAACAGAGAAATCTTGGATCTGCTGCTTGTAAGCCAGGTCCTGCAGAAGGATGTGGGAATCTGGTGATACGGGATCTGAGCAGCCTGAAATTGCTGACATTTTGTTGTGAGTGAGTGTTTTAAGGTCCTGGTGTCGCCCAAGGGGGTGAAGGGGCTGCACCACATTTGTAGAACCAGAAACGGACCTAAAAGTACTTGCTATGACTTTCTTTTGAGGTATAAAATAAATATGAACCATTTACATTGTGACTAGTGACAGGGAGGGGTTACTTGGTTCCTTCTCAGCTGCAAGGTGGATGTTTTTATCTTCCTCATGTTTGAGGCCTTTTATGATTTCTACAGCATCTACTTAAGCCTCCCTCTTAGTTCAGAAGAGTTTTTTAGGAATAAGGGCATTTACTGTCACTGCCTTGTTCCTTATCCATGATTTCTAGCATGGATCACCATCACAGAACATAAAGGTAAACTTTTTCAGTTTCTCAGTCTCTAGCCTAACTTCTGCAATGCTTTTAATCAAATGCTTTTCCCTTTGAGGGATGGGAAGGAGAAGGGTTTTGGAATCAAACGAGCTTCTCCTGTGGCTGAGCAGGGTATAAATGAGGTACAGCCTCTCCTGCCAAAGGTGTAGATGTGCTGAGGCTGCAGGCATTTCTGTAGGCTGACCCAAGAAAAAGTTACATGGTTATGCAGCAGGTCTGCCCAAGTAAATTCCTTCTACAAAGAAGCTTTTTAAAGTCGGCATTGGTTGGTTTGGTTATGTTTTTTTTCCTCCTTATTTACAGTTGAAATCTAGGCACAGGTTCAAAGACTTGCCTGGCATTGAAAGGACATAGAGCACAGCTCTGCAGATCACTGAAAGACCTTATCTCTTCTTGCTATCCCCAGCAAGACACTCCAGAACACCACGAAAGTTCTGCTGGTATTTAAGGATCCTGCAACAGCAGATGGCAGTGGAAAGAGGCGCAAGATTTCTCCTGACAGGTCCAAGCCTAGAGCTTTGCAGTCCCTGAACCCTAGACATAAACAGAAGAAAAAGGATCATCTTATTACAGCAAAGAGAGAGACAGAAAAAATAGCAGGATTAGACATCACAATTTTTAACAATGTTTAATTGATAAGCTGATGATGTTTTTAAACTGAGAGAGGGGAAATTTAGGTTAGATATGCAGAAGAAATCCTTCACCATGAGGGTGGTGAGGCACTGGCAAAGGTTGCCCAGAGAAACTGTGGATGTCCCATCCCTGAAAGCATTCAAGGCCAGGTTGGATGTGGCTCTGAGTAGCCTGGGCTAGTGGAAGGTGTCCCTGCCCATAGCAGAGGTTTTGGAACAAGATCTTTAAAGTCCCTTCCAACCCAAAACCATTCTGTGGTTCTGTGACCAAGGTAAGCTGTGAGTGGAGTCGCTTGCTGTCACTTGTGGTGCCAGTGACAGCAGAACACGGCAGGGCTCTGCTGTAAAGGAACACAGAGCTCCCTATGCAAGGTCTCCTGGCACAGCCAGAGGGACAGGAGGTAAGAGCAGAAGTGTAAGGGCTTTGCAAACTGCTGCTGAGTTGTCCAGCTGAGCTTTAGACCAGCAAATCAGTGCACCAAAACTACATCAGGGCTGCTTCAGTCAGGGTAGGGCAGGGCTCCAGGATGAGGCCAAGTGAAAAGGCTTGGACTTGTGCCTGCATTTACCAAGTGCTGTGCCTATTGAAAAGATTTTATATATTGCAAATAAAATCCAACTTGATGAACCCTTGGGACAAGTGGAAAAGGAGTAAGAAATGTTGCCTGCCTGGAAATTACCAATCTGCATGTATAGCTTATGTAGAAGAATTGAAATGAAAGACTCATATCTAAATCACTGAGCATAGGGAAGGCAATGCAGAAAAGGTTTGAAGACATCATAACACTTGAAACCAGTTTTTTCTACTACAGCACATAATGGGGTAGTGCAGTTACCATTGGCTCTTTAAGCACTCCCTTGTGATGAACTGGACAGATACCCCACTCAATCACCAGGAGTTAGAGCTGATCCAAGTGAGACACCAGAGACTTGATGCAGCTGGCTATGAAACACTGCTAGAGCTTCTACATCATATACCTGACAGCATCTTGACATGAAATGTTTGGTCCAGCATGAGTGACTTTTTTTTCAGCAGACAATTCATCCATATACTGGGGTAAGTGATAGCTTTGGTGCAGGCTGATGTGATTATAATTATAAGCTTGTAAAAAAAGACTAAAGCTCAGCATGTTTAATTCTGAGGGTAATAAAACTCCTGAAAATGCACACTGGGTTTGTGATTGATTCCCTATGCATAGAAATCCATAAATCAAGACCAGATTTTAAATTAGGCAGGACTGTCTGTGCCATACCATTGAAATTAAAGCAGGGCACTCAGATCTCCTGTGCTTTGTGCGAGAGGACTGCATACTGAGTGAGAGCAAAAAGTATGGTTGTGTGACGGGTCCCTGTCAGCAAGATGACATCTTCTGGGCAGAGCTCCCCACATGCTCGGTAGGGAGACTTTGACCATGAGAGGATGGAAGAGAGGTAGAAAAAGCTCTCTTGCTTTGGCTCCTGTAGTCAGTCAGCCTTGCATGTCTTCCCCTGGGCAGCTTGTTCCCTTTTTGCAGGGAGCCTTTGTGTGCTCCTGTTCCTTTTACCCTCAGCAAAGCCTGGCACAAGCTGTACCCTTGCTGCTACACCTGCTGAACAAGAAGGTCGCACATCCCACTGGTTACATGCTCCTTGGAAGGAAGAGCACTCTTCATCTGCCCCTTTCCTTCCCCTGGAAGGATTTGATCCGTTTTCTCCGGCCTTCACCTTCAAAAGCAATACACTCCAGCCCTCCTGTCTTTCAGTAAATATTCACTTCCCAAGATGTCTGAGTATCTGAGGGATGTTTCCTTCCCCTCCCTTTGCCTCGTACCTACCTAGAAGCATACAGAATTTTCCCTATCCAAATACCTCTCTGTTCTCACTGACTCAAATTGCCAGCTTCCTGGGGAAGGAAGAGCAGATGGTCCAGCCCTCTTGTCAGACACTTACTGAGGAAGGAGCTTCAAGGACAGTAGAAAAGGCAATAAAAGACACATGGTGTCTTCAAGCTCCACAGCTCATTTCTCAGTGTTAGCAGGAGTCATCTTTGATGTGGGGCACAGCACAGGGGAGGAAACCTGATCCCAAGAAGAAGTCAGAACATAAACTGAAATGTATTTACCAATAGACAAAAGGCTTAAAATGGGAGATCTTGTCCAAAAGGATTTTAGGCCTTGAGGAAGGCAGGTCACTGCGACACTCCAGTGGAGTTCAGTGGAGGATGAAAACAGCAAGTTGAAGGCTGAACAGAAAGAATGGCATTTAAAAAAGCCAAAAAATGACTAGGTCAAAGAATAAAAGACAACCAAAGCATCCAAACATCATCCAACATTTATCCTACACAAATCCAGCAGCTTGCATCTTGCGGCAGGTTAAACAAGAGTTTAACCTGCCACAGGTTTGCATGGTCAGTGAGTGGATGGTGCCTCTGTGAAAGGCCACCCTCTAGTGCCTGAGGATGGCATTTCTTTGGCATTTCAAATCTTTATAATATCTCCTATTTTGAGTATTTTTTTTCTCTTGTACTGCAAAGGGACCTTGCTCCCATGGGCAGCAGTTCTACATCTGCTCTTCTTGTGAAGTCTCAGTGCTGCAAGAGCCTCAGTATGCTCAGCCCAAGCAGAAAATCCTCAGTAGCCATTCATTTGCTGGTCTAATGTCAAATTATGTCAATTGAATGCTTTGTATTTGAGGCAATTTTGCTTTGTAGTCCAAATCACAAACCAAACAAATCAAACACTTTAGACACCAAGTGGAAAGGATTAAACATTTATTTACATACAGATACACATGTAAGCAATTTCTAAGTATAAAAAGGACATTACAAATAAATGTGAAGCATCATACATTCATCATCCTGGTCATCCAAAACACATTCCTTTCTCAAGCCCACTGTACCACACTTGACCACAAGAACTGAAAGAAGAGACAAGCCAAATGCTTCTGACAGTGAATGAGTCACATTTTGGTGATTTGCTAACACCTATACCCTCCCCAAAGACAGCACTACCCCACCAACGAGATCAATTGTCTGACCAGCTGTAGTGCATTTTTTCCACTGAAATGGTTGTGCTTGATCAACAAAAACCACATTCTCTCCTCATCCTTCTGGCCAAATGTTTAGGAATGAGGGCTCTTGCTAAAATTCTGTACATTGTGCTAAATTCACAATTGTTGGGGAAAAGACAGAGGACCTTTATGGGAAAAACTCCAACACTGAAAATTCCTTTAATGCTGTGAATTCCCTGGCAAGGAAACCACAAAAAAAAAATGCTGCTGTTAGTGCTTAAGCAGATTTTTAAACTACAATTCAAACTATAGTTGATGGTGTAATATATACTTTGTTCGTGCTGTAAAAGAAATTACGTGTTTCAATGTTGATTTGATATAATCAAAGCTGAGGGTAATTCAGGTTTTCTCCTGAGGAAAGGAAGATGCCTTTGTAGCATCTCTAAAAATTATCATAGCTTTCAGGAAAGAGGAAATGTTTTAGATTCAAAAGTCTTAAGGTAATGCAGAGCATGACAAACTTGTCAGTTAGATAACATTACAAAGGGAAACAAGCCAGTAAACATAAAATTAAAATGCCTACTCAAAGTATTAATGGATTCAAATGAGAACGGGGTGAGTCTCTCTGTATAGATCAAAAGCAGTTTGAAAAAAATCTCATGATCTGCAAATTCACAGAACAGCCAAATATGTGCAGCAGAACAGAGTGAAGTGGAAATAAAAGGGTAGAAAGAGCCTTGTCCCACATTGACAGCTGAGTGACTACAGCTGCTCCAATCTCAGGGTTTGGGTTTTTTTTTTCCTTTTGTAAACAGCTGTGGAGAATAAAATGGATGTGACATATCTGCAGTGCATCTTATTATGCTAAAAACTATGGCATATTTTAAACTACTTCCCTAATATCCAGAGATATACTTGTCACTCCCAATCAGCATAGTAACAAGCACTGGGCTTGCTCCATACTCTCATTAGAGGGCCTTCTCTCCACTAAAATTTTGGCTTCAGGAGATAGTTTTTCCCCCTTCAGTGCTGGCTGTGGATGGGGGTGAGTGGTAACCCTTTCTTCCCAACAGTCTGTAAGAACTGAGGCAATGGCAGTGCCTGAAATCATAGCAGCTCTCCCCACCAGAGACCAAGTATTTTATTCCCCCTCTATTAAAAAATAAAACTGGCATTTCCTCTCCTCTGCTTGCCCTTCTGTAAAGACTCAGCTGCTGGGACACTGCAGGACACTGCATTTACGAAAGCTCAGTGGCAATGATGCAACCCCAGCCCCCAGAGACATTCACAGCACCCCACCTCCCAGTGACAGCTCCTCCTCCACACCACCCCAAGTCTCACTGGATGGAGAGCAGCACCCACCTACTCACTAGAGAGCAACTCATTTGCACCAAACTCCCATAAATTCTTAATGTCTGAATCTTTTTTATTTGTCCTGTAAAAAGGGAAATATTCCTTACAGGGTGTCCTGGCTGGAAGGGGCTTATTGAATTATTAACTTTATGTCCATAGTAAAAAGCTTGAGGTGGCACAGAAAATGAGTCTCTGCTGCTCTTCTTTTCAGCTGAAGCAGGGGTCAGATCTAGTGTTTCATGCAATCAGACCATCCCTCCACAGTGCTTGAGGCATGAGCAGTAATTAGAGAAGAGCAGACTCATTGATGAGAGGTACTAGAGGAATCAAGCTATGAGAAGTGCCAAGGTTTGCATTCGTGTGACACCAGACACTCCAGAGCCCTTGACTGCTGCCCATGAAAGCCTAAGAATACTTTTAACATCCCCTCTGCCCCAGGGAACTGCACAGCATGACTGACACAGGTTTTGTCCATATCATTTTTTGCCTGAGGACCAGGCATTCAGAAAATGCTCACCAGGGACACCACCACTGTGTACTCACGAGTGTGCGTGTCCTTGAGAATGTTATCCCAAGATAAGCATAAGTGGAAAAAGCAAAGGTGCAAATGTAAAACTGGCTTGTGTTTTTGAATAATACTGTAGCACTAACCAGAGCTCTAATTATCTTCTGAGCTTATTGGAAAAGGATAACTTGTTCAAAAAATGTGGTCACATCTACCAAGTCCTAATTGCAAGTTATTAATGTGAAAACAGAGACAATCTCCAAGTATTCTAAACCTGGCTTCTGTTCATCCAGACAGATAAGATGAGGTGTTGATCCTGGCTATGCTCTTAAAAGCAGTCTAATTTTTTTACTGACAATATGTACAGCCTAAATTACACTCATTGTCACCCCATTTTCTGCACTGAGTTATCTTCCCCCAATTATCCCATTGACTGCATTTGAAGGAGCAAGCTTTAGAAATGAGGCTTTTTTTCTCGATATGTGCTCCCACTGGGAAAGAAACACACACCTGTAACTCACATGGAATAGTTTTTACTTCTGGTTTAAGTTACAGCTTGTTCACATGAGGGGAAAGGTTGTGATGGCATCCATGAGTGACAACAGCTGGTGATCTATCCCAGCTGGATATGGTTCAGTACATCAAGGGCAGCTTTGGGTCAGGTGAGTGAGGTGGTGATTAGGGAGGTAAGTCAGAGAAGGCAGCATGCTGCTTTGGGAGCCCTGCATCATGCTCAGCATGACTACCCTGCTGTCTGCTTTCCCAGCCAAGACAAATCCTCAACTGAGGCAGATGTGAGGTCAGTAACATTTATGGTACATTTAGCTACAGCTCAAGTGGATGATTGCATCTCAAAGACATCACCAGTTCCAGTTGAGGCTGCTCTGCTTAAGATGCACTGCATGCTTATAAGAAATCAAGCTATTGTTTCACCATTCATCATCATCATAAGACAAGACTATCCTTCAAAATTATGATCCTTGAACAGCAGTTGCAACAATTATCCACAGCAATAAAAGGATAGAACTGATGCCAGGAAAAGAGTGATGTCAAACCCAAAATTTGTTGAGATAACAAAGTTTATGGAAAGAGGAAGAAAATATGTTGGTTTAACAGGGTTTTCACTAGTAGAATGAATTAGAGTATTTCCTTTGGCTCCAGAGAGTTTTCCGGTGAGCCCTAAATGTACAGAGACATTTAGAAAAGGATGGAGAGTTTCCATACTTGCTTACTTGGAATTCACAAAATATCCTCTAGAAACACCTTTTTCTAACTGAATTAACTCAAGAAAGGACTTTTTTGGTAGAGTTGGTAGGAGCCA